TTCCTTTCTTTTTCTGTTCTCATGTTCTTCGCTTCGGACTTCTGCACTTCTGCTGGGGTTTTCATTTCCGACTCCCTTCTTCAATTTCATTCTCTATATTCTCGTCCCACCGGGATGATTTCTGTTGGTTTTTCTGATTTTATGGTCACCCATCAATGCTTTTATTGCTGCGCCATGCATGGTCTTCGACAGATTTTATTTTATTTCTAATCTAATCTGCTTCTAAGAAGTCCTCTGATGCCCTTGTCGTCACGTCCCCGCAAATTGTCTCTTAGTCTCTGTAATTTTGCAGGTTTTCTTCATACTCTTCAGCACTTTTTTATTTCTATCTGCAAAGTGTTTTTATTCTTACGAGAGTCTTTTTAATTATGATGAGAGTCTCTTTGAGGGACATATGCAAACACTCATGGTAAATCCAGCGTAACCAATAAAATTAGTAACGAAAAAGTGCATATTGGAATGAGAACCAAAACAGCTTCTCTTGAGCAGAACAAAACCGCCATTCAAATAAACTAATAGTCTGACGAGAATTCATCCAAACTAGTCAGGTAGTTCTTGGCGAAGATGATGATGTCTTAGACGGTTCTGGTGGAAGCTTTCGATTTTCCACCTCTGGTAGATCGGCGATTTTGGAAAATTCTTTAGGCACATTTTTGTTCATGTTTCCCAATGAACATCCCAGACCGTGAGCAAAACACTCCGTCCATATTTTCCCAGAATCGCCAGGCTTTTCCGTTCTACCTGCTGAAAATTGCTGCATTTTCGTTAAACGCACTTCCCCCCGAACGTTTTGCAATATTTCCCCGACCGATAATGCAATTTCATGGAACAAAAGTCGATTGTTAAGTTGCCCCGTTTCTCGCTCAATTTTGCGGCAAAAACTCGTGGGTTTTCAATGGATTTCAACTCATTGAAATGCGAATATGATAGTTTTCATGCAAAGCCAACGTTTCTTTTCTATAGAATAAAGCTGCAAATTGAAAACAATGTTGCGTTTTAAGGAAAACTACTAGGAAACTGGTGAGTTGTTCAGGCTTTTTAGCAAGAGTCTTGCGAGACTATTCTCAACAACGCTAGATTGGAGCTGCCGTCCGCGATCACCAGATTTGACTACTCTAGAATTTTTTGAGAGGAGGTTATTATAGGTAGTCAAAAGGGAGAAAAATAGACGCTTTTCTTTGTACACGCTTCAGCTATGGGTTTAAAAGCTACTGAACCATTTAACATAAAAGCGCATTTATGTGTGCAGTCAGACGGGCCTCATTTTGAGCTAAGAACTGATTTGTTTTTTTCGAAGTCTTTCACCCGGTTGAATATCTCTTCTGAAGATCTCAAATATTTTCCTACCTATTTACGCTTTGGCGAACAGTTTGAACCTTTTTTGCGAATTTAGAATAATTTTGCTACGTTCAGGGCGTTTCCAAATTCACAACCGATTTGCAACTATTTGAATGGTTTTTTTTTATTGATTCCTTCCACTCCATTTGCTGATGTTTCCTCTGATCCTATTTCTTTATAAATAATTTTAAAACTAGGAACAGATCACTGCCCACTTTGACATTTCTTGCAATATTTCAACAGTTCATTGTCTTCCTTTTCTTCTGATTTGTAAAAGTATAATTAATTGTTAAGCACAAAACTCGACTTTCAAGAAGATTTTTCGTCAGTTCAGTCAGTTTATCGTATGCAAACGGACGCTGGATGAAGAACGGAAGAAATTGCAACCCAAAAGAGTTTTCTGGACGCGCAGGCTTATTGAAAAATGTATTATGAATAAACTAGTTGAGTTACGGAATCAGCTTGAGCACAAGTTTCAAGCACAATTGTTGGTTTAACTGTGTGAATTGTTTCACGTCAGTTGCTCGGTTGGACGAACTTTGATGAATTTTCAAACGTTGGCTTCGACTTGATTTTGCCTCCACAAAACCAACGAGCATATTTTCAAAAAATCACTACGGAGAAACCAGTGGGGATAAACTTTCTATTTTGATAGGGTTGTAAAGACCAAATATTGCTCTTAGTCTGACGGGTACCCTAAACTCTCGGTCCTGCACAGTAAATTGTTAAATTTTGAAAAATTATTGAGAAGTTTTCGTATTTTACACTCTGCCCTTCTGAAGCATATTTCTGAGGCGCCGTTTGAGGCAAGGGAATGAGGAGTCCAGCACGCCATACGGGAAGCCCCAATTGAGGGTCGCAGCGTTTATGGTTCCACTACTGCTAGTGGTTCCCGATAATTTGTTCTTGAACTTTGAAAAAATTTAGCACGGTTTTTAGTTTTTAATTACCTCCTTCTGAGACTCCACAAACCCTTGAGGTATTTCAATTCGACGAAGAGCAGTGGATCGAGAAGGCCTCAGTTGATACGTGCGATAAAACTGGTTTCATTTCAAGCAGTGGTTCCTTCATAACGTATTCTCAAACTTTAGGAAGTTATTAAAGGGTTTTACTTTTTTACAGTTTACCCTTCTGAAGCCCATTAATCTCAAACGTTAATTGAGATGTTTACATGGGAGTTCTAGCACGCCATACAGGGAGGTTCAATTGAGTGTTTGAGTGCATATGGTTCGATTTCACATATTAGTTCTTTTACACTTAATTTTTGAACTTTGGAAAAATTTCGCGCGATTTTAGTTTTTGTGAGACTCAATACTCCACGACCACCTGAGGTGTTCCAATTCGCATACCAGCCATGGATAGAGAAGGCTTTCTTTTAACCGCTCTGTAAAAGTGGTTCCATTCCAAACAGTGGTTCCTTTATAACGCTTTCTCAAACTTCTTCAAAAATTCTTGACGCGCTTCTAAAATATGCATTATACACTTCTGACCCTCATTTCTGAGACGCTCCTTGAGATGGGCATGAGAGTCCCAGGACACCATAGAGAAAGCTATCCTTAAAAGCTGTAGTGCATATGGGTCCATTCCAGCTAGCAGCTTCTTCAGAATGAATTCTTGAACTTTGACAAGATTTTTTTGTTTCTGCATTACGATCTTCTGAGACTAATTACTGATAAACCGCCAAAGATATTACCATCAGAAGAACAGCAGTCGACGGCAGAAACCTCCAGTTATCGGATTTGAGTCATTGGTTCCATTCCATGGATTGGTTCTGTTATAATGCATTCTATAATCAATTCTTGATCTTGAAAATGTTTGTTTTTGCATCTTAGTCTTCTAATACTCACTACGACATAACTGCTGAAGAGATCGGAATATATGGACCAGCAGGCGACAGCCGAAGCTCCAATGTACAGCTTCCAATGGAAAAGTCATTAGAAACCGCCAGAATGAAAACAAAGGCAAACCTTAGCAGTTCCTTAAAAGTTGCCTAACCACCGGGTTCTTCTTCCAAAAGTGTCTCAAAAGAAAACTCCGGGGGATCCCGGAATCGCAGCAGATTTTGATATTGTTTAATCTCGTAAGCGCATGTTATGTACGTTTGCTTTATGATTGTTATAAGGATTTCTTACTGGAACTTTTACTGTACGGTACTTTAACCGAAAACTATCAACGGTGTTTTTTGTTCTTTAAGATTGACATTATTTTTGTTTGCTTAGAAAAAATACTGTTAAATCTTTTTTGTGCAAATTCCTTTGTGTGCACAGTTTTGAAAGCACATAGAAGAGATTTTTACCCGGGGATAAAGTCACCGAAGAACAAGACAAATAAGGTCCTGCCTCCTGTACCTACATTGGAAGCTAATTTTAAAATGTACCTCCGACGGCCTTTCACTCAACCAGAAAGCAATACTTTTTAAAAGTTAAATAGTTCAGCCACTATCTTCCGTGTCGTATAATCTTAATAGCCCTGTATATACACGGTGTCCATGAGAGAGACCATCAAAAGAAGACAATGTGACCTTACTGGGAGGAAATTTCGGGCTCCTCTGCTAATGATGGTCAGTTCTTGAATAAAATTAGGTCTTCAATATTGGCAGAATTGTACGATGGAATTCAATAAAATTCGCTTTGAATATGATGTTTTTGTGAAGCAATAGAGTTTTGGGAAGTGAAAAATTCTTGAGTGTCTTGGTACAAAGACTACCAGAACTTTTTATTTATTGGAGTCAGCTGAATTTTTTTCGAGTTGATGCTCTAATCCTTAAGGGAGATTTTTGGCGTCTTTGTAAAATGTTGCAGCAATAGTAGTTTTTGCGCAAAAAAATAATTTATGTTTCCATGCTAGTTAACAATTTCTGCCTCCAAACCTTGTAGTTAGCGATAATGTTCTTTTAGAATAAATTAATAGTCAAGCGTTTTATAATTTTCCAGTGCCGACAATCGCACACAAAGAAGGAGCGATTTTTAGCAAATATGGCCTCGGCGTAGCAACAAATCCACAGCAACTTCCATTAAAAACGCAGTTGAGCGCTTTGTCGATATTACAAAAGACTTCATTTAAGTTTCGTTAATGTAAAAAGTTAATGAATTTTTAAACTGTCAGTAAGCAAAGGAAAATAAATATTTTTTTGCGCCAAACTTATGAATCCTACAATATTTTACAAAGAGGACAAAAATGTCGAAGGGAAATTTGTACATCAACTCAAAAAATTCACTTGATTCCAGCTCCCACATAAAAAGCTGTGATAGTTTTTGCACTAAAACACTATAATTCTTCACTTGTGAACTCGGTTGATTAATCAAAACATGCGTATTTCATTGGAACAAATTCGTAGCGAGTTTCAATCAAATCCATCGGAACGTTCTCCCGATAGTTAAAAAACACAATTTTTTTAAAGAATTTTGACCATCAATAACAGACCATCAATAAACGAGCCATTTTTTTACAAAAATTAGTAATTGTATTATTAAATTAATTTTTGCCGTATTTAAAAGCAACTTTATTGTCTTTTGCTTGATCAAGACCAGCAAGAAATTATTTTCCACGATTTTCTGCAATTCCCAAAGACTCACCAGTTTCCATCTATGGCCGCGAAAGCTTAGCTCTGGTGCCACTAAGGAACCTTAAATAATTCTTCTAAACAATAAAACCCAACCAAATAGTTTAAATATTATAAATAGGCCCACAAAAAATTGTTGAACTCTTCCACACATTCCAATTCACACTAGTCGATTGTTTTCAGCTTTTCACGCTCAACATCTCCCTGATTTGTTGCGTAAGCCATTCCACGCCCTCTTGTAAGCCTTCGCCACTCAAAGCATTGCTGGCCGATATATGCCACGGCTTATCCGTGATTTTATCCAAGCCTAAAAATTTTATGTTTGAACATCGCTTGCACATGTTGGCGGATTGCCGGCTTAAGGTCCCATAAAACCCTCAAAAACAAACGGCTTTGGGGATTTTTTACAATGAAGTGACCGATTGAATGCACTGAGCGGCTTTATGGACCACCCTAAAGAACAACAGCAGGTTGGATTTTGTTTTTCTTTTACCTAAAGCGGCCGCAATTTTTACGCTGCTCAGCGCCTCTTTGCAGTCCATTTTGTTAGCGAAGAAGAGAATGGGCAGTTTTTTCTGGCAGATATCGGGATGTTGCAGCATCAAATCCAGTTCCTCTTTGACCACGACCAATCGCAATCGATCACTGCTGTCGATAACGAAAATTATTCCATGGCAATTCTTGTAGTAGTGTTCCCATAAATCCCGGTAGCGGCCATGCCCCGACATGTCGAAGGCTGTAAAGGCCAGATTTTGATCTAAAAAACTCAGTTGAAACCTTGTTTTTGCGGGTGGCTTTTTCACTTGCTTTGAAATCGCTCCACATTGAAGCCCACAGTTGGCACAATGTCGGTGATTCGGTCATCCTCACTTTTGAAACTGTTTACCACCGTGGTTTTTCCACTATTATTCAAGCCCACAACCAGCACGTTCACGTCCTTCTTTCGCACCCCCAGAAAATTCGCTAATCTTTGAAACAGGCCCATTATGCATTGTTCTAGAGTCACTTCTAGGCGCCCTCAATGTGCGAAATCGTTCAATACAACTGTCCCCAAACCTGCACATCCTGCACCCTATTTGTATGTATCTCAGTTGCTATAGTTATTAACAAGCAGGAGTGGATTTGCGATAATCTATAAGGGTGAAATAATGAGGAGGAAGAGGAAATAATGTGCTCAAAGTGGGGTCGATCGCAAAAGTTGACGAGATTAGGAGTGTTTAGTGTGGGCTGTTTCAATACAATGCCATTATCTCAGAATTAGCGGAGATACTGCAAAGTAGGAAGACGGAAGAGCGCAACTAAACTTTGAAGATTGCATGTAAGAGATTAACATTTCTTCTACCGAAGAGTTTGGAAAATCGGCAAAATTTGCCCTCGGGGGCCCAAAACCGCTCTATGGCGCAAACCATGACCGGACTCAAAAAAGCTCTACCCTGCAAGAAAATTGAGGCTCAACTGCCCAGAACATGTCGAATCAGTTCAGTGGGCATATTATATTAACATAATATGGCCATATTATGGTAACAAATATGGGCAAAATATGTCGAATGCGCACGTGACAGACTAGCGCAACCTGACTCGTTATTTAAATGACATGCGCAAGTGAGTTTGAGGTTACGTTAAGCAAAGCAAACGTCTGTCATCAAACTTCTATAATTGTTTCTAAATTAAATGGGCGGATTTATAGATGATTAATTTATTGTTTTTGCCAAACTATTCGTGTTTTGTGGATTTTCAGGGGCTAGGAGCAGTCTTAATTTAATTAATTTAATGTCTTAAATTTTCAAGGAAAAACCAAAAATTTCTGAAGCTTGCCCAGAATATCACCCGAAAGAGAAAATCTTCGGATTTTCATGAAGAAAACCCCACTTTAATAGAAAATTTCTTGTAGTTTTCCGGATTTTTTTAAGACACTAAATCGAGGCGAGTGGTTGTTGGACACCACGGATTTTTCAAAAATTCGCCAAGTAAAAAACGAAAAATTCCTGAATGCGGTTCATAACATCACTCGAAAGAGAAAATCGGCTGCTTTAAATGAGGAAAGACTCACTTGATAAAGAAATTTCTTGGAGGTTCCAGGATGTTTTCAGTTACTCAGGAGAAGCGATTGGCCGTTGGTACAGATGGACGGATTAACAAAACGGCAAGGAAAAGCCAAAAATTTCTGAATCTTGCCCAGAATATCACTCGAAAGAGAAAATCTGCGGCTTTTAATAAGGAAAACCTCACTTTAATAGGAATTTTCTGGGAGTTTTCAGGATTTTTCAGACACTAAAGGGATGCGATTGGCCGTTGGTATACATGGTGATTCAAAATTGGCGTCATTCCTCTGGTGGTGTTGTCTGGCGCTGTTATAGGAGTACAGAAAAAATAGTAAAATAAATTAATTGTTATTAAAAACTGAGAAATTTGCAAAAAAACTATATCAG